CTGCTTGTGTTATGGATAGCTTGGTAATTGTATTGCAAAGCTCAATGGTTGTCTGGTTGAATTGAATAAACAACATTCTCCATTCGCACGCATTTAATTGTGAGGAACCGTGGCTTTCTTGTGTGTTCAGGGTTGGTTTTCGAAATGTATGTGCGTCTATTTCTTTGACTATGGAGGGGTGGTATTTCTTAACTTACTTCAGTTACATAGTTAGTCTTCGCTGCATTGGCTTCGGACTGTTTTTTTTTTTCAGGATACTAAGGAACATTTTTTCTTCATTGACTTTGTTTATGGGAAGTACTCTTTTTGTTTTTTTTTTGTCGGCAAGGCAGCCATGGGGGCAGTTTTTTTGGCTCTACTCATTATTTTCTCGAATTAATTAACTTCCACGTTTACTCCGCACTTTTGGATGTCTAATATGGAGATGGACAGATTTTGCTTGAGTGAAAAATTCGTCTAATTGGCGTTGCTTCCAAAAAACTATGCGCGGCTCAGGGTTTTGGATTTTGATCCATTTGTTTCTGATTTAGTTTTGGGGAGCAGCAGAAATGAGAGAATCAATGCTGTTTTCATTGCGACGTTAGAATTTGTCGTTTCTTTGCTTATGACAGCAGCATCAGGTTCAGTAATTCTATGAATTGAAAACCAGGCTTCTTCTTGCTTAGAATTATGAAAACCGGTTCCCAGTTGAGAAGTTTGTTATGTCTTTTATTTCCTTTTCAAATTCTTGTTCGATAAGTTTCTAGGTATCAGAGGGGACTGTAGCGACTGCTGGGAGCGAGGGATTAGATTGTGTTGCTTTCGGCAGTACGTTTGTTTCTGGTGTTGCCGGTGATGTTGCTTCTTGAGACGTGATGGGAGATGTGCTTGGTGGAGTTGGACCCTTTTGCAAAGTTCTCGATGGTGCTCTGTATGTAGGAGAACTCATTGTAAAAAAAACTTGCTGCCATGTACCCAGCTTCAAGAGACGTAGATATATGCTTTGCAAATTACACGCCAAATGGTATACCTGAAAATCATCAGGTATAAAAAAGTTTTAAATTGTACAAAATGATCATCAATCAAAAACACAAACTAAGACAATCGCTAAAAAAAATAACAAAAAATTAACCAATCAAACCTTTGCGATTTAAAATTGGCGCCTACATAGGTATCATATCAATTAAGTTTCCGAATTATTTAGTTAATTCTTTCTTATCGCTTTAAATTAAAATTTAACTTTTCGCTTTGCCTCATTTTCGGATTTCGAAACAAGTCAGTTTCTATCTCGATATGCAGATTTCGACATCTGTTCTTTGAAAAGTTTTTTTTTCTAGGAAAAGTTAGAGTAAAAAAATTGATTGAATTGCTAAAAATTTTTTATTTTTTCACATCCATCATTCTACTGCACGAAGATCATCCTGTGCTTGCCAGAAGAAAAAAAATTAATGTCTAAAATCTTCAAATAACTAGGGCTCTGAAAAAACTTAAGACATCAGGTTGATCATTTTTGAATACACAAAACAGAAGAAGTTTTAGTACCTGTCCTTCGGGAAATCATTTTGGTTTCCCATTTGTACTAGCTCATAATATCTACATTGCTGAAACCTTGTCGACTTTTAAGGTAATCAATTAGTACCCCAAGGACGCGTCACCCATTGCAATGTTCAAACTTGTCGTATTAACTCAAAAAGGTGCAAATTATACAACGCTGTTGTAAATTTAGCAAAGAAGAGGTTGATTTGGGGTTTCTGTTTATTATCTATTGCTTCACATTTTTTTTCAAGAAAGAAAGAATGCAGGTTTCAAACATTTGCATTCTGATAAAACCCTGTCTTGATTGTGCTTAGAATCCCTTGGACTGATTATACAGTGCTATTTATACGCGTTCCTCACATTTTCAGTAACTAAACTTAGAAGGGATACAAGCCTGTAATTGTTTTTATCCATCTATTTGATTTTTGGCAAATGAAGGATTTTGCTGCTATTATCCAGTTTTGCTGAAATGCCCAATTTTCTCAAAATTGAAAGTATAAATGGCATATAAGTCTGAAAATCTTATAATAAAACTGTGGTGGTATTTTTTGGTTTCCTTGATTAGTTGATAATTCCTGGTTTCAAATTTTTTTTATGATCTTTGTTGTTTTATCTAAATAGCTCAAAGTCGGCATCCTCAATTCAATATCTTCTATGCTGAAAAGGTCTTAGGATGAAACATTGATGGCAAAACGCATGCGTATCTTCAAATTGTTCATGTAGGGACATTTTTATTCCCCATGTATGAAAACTCCTGATAGACTAGATGTTTCGCTTAAAGGTTTCTATAAATTAAAGACTATATTAGGATCATGTCTTCGGTGTCAGGATTTTTGCCACAAATCAATTGGCCCTATGCCAACTTGTCCTATACTAACTTGCCCTACATGGCAACTTGTCCCATGCCAACTTGCCCCACATGACATTTTGTCCTATGCCGTTTTGTCCCATACTTAACAATTTTGCTTGATTCTTTGATGTTCAAATTGAGGATTAAAAACAAGAGTCTTTTGTAGACTGGACTCGTTTTGAGATAACAAAAGACTCTTCTCAGTTGTTTCTCTTGATCGTCTATCTTTTCTTCCTCAAAGACTGCCTCAATGTTTTATATATCACCTGATTGTTCATTTTGCAAGAAATTGTATTCTATTAAAGTTTCGATTGATTTTCAACACTATTTTTTTCAAGCGTTTAGTTCGTTTTGTCAAGTTACACGTCAAAAGTTACTTGTAATTTCCATTATTTATTTGTTTTAGTCGGTGTAGCACACGACTTTGAATTGATTTTCTTTGAGGTGTTCCTTGATGCTATCACAATCAGCGTAACTAAAACTTCTGAGTTTTTTCATCGATGGTTTTGGCTTGATTTACTGTACAACCCATGGATTGATGGGCAGCTTCTTAGTCTGAACAGCTGAAAGATTTCGAAAAAAATCTTTTCCCGCTGATGGAAAAGCTGCGGTAGAGGGTATATCTAGAAAGTTATTAGAGCACATTGGAAAATAAATAGCTTGTCTAAAAAATTTTTACATAAACATTTCAGTTAATTACTTCTTAGTAGCAATAGATTTTGTCCGTTTTTTCCAGTCTGTTTGAGTAAAATTTAAGCCGACGTAAATCAAAGATGGATTGTTTATTACAATGTTTTCCAAGAATCATAGGGAACTTTTACAAAATTTCATTTTAATATTATTGATAGTTAGTTAAGGACCGCAAAAGAAATCACTTTCAATAACTTTTTAAAATGCTAAAGAAGAACAAGTTAGACATTACAAAATTATTCTGAAATTAGGGCTTTTTTCAGTCATTGTGTAATTCTTGGGCTCAATTGACGTCTCTGTCACTCTTGCAGATGTGGTAGTCGATTAAAAAACTTTGATGAGTTCATTTTTTTCTTTAGCAAGGTTTCACATAATCAAATGCATTGTAATCAGAGCTCATATCAGGATCGAAAAAACATGTTGTTTGCTCACATATTTTTAGAATTCTCGTATCGTGTTGTTCAAAATAAAGAAGCCATAGTCAGATTGGATTAACCTTTTCAGTGTCTAACTTCATTTAAATCCATCATAACAGAAGTATAAGTGCCGAATTTTCAATTTCTCCCTGTGACTCCTCCTTCAAGTAGCTCTCGCAGTTTCTTCAGTAGTTGAGTCACTTCTATTGCATACCCCATGGTGAAGGTCGGTAGAATGGAGGAATCTTTCTCCTCAAATTTTGCTCTGATGCTCTGAGTTGTTGACACTTCGCAGGAATACTTCTTGACTGTTTATTAGAGTTCTTTGTGTTTGTAAACCACTTGGGTTTTTTGGAAGTCGCTGGATGTGGATGTCAATCATACAAACCGCAGCTCCATTTGAATTTTTGACAAAATTTTTGGTCTATGACAAAATTTTTAATCTATGATTGCTTTGAATTCTCTGAGCTCCTATTTTCCAAAATTTTTATTTATTTTGCGATTTTTTGAGACTTCTACTTTTTGACACTATTTGTTCTATCTGCTGATTTTTCTATAGCAAAAATAGCACCATAAATTTTCTCCAATTTTTGGCGAGAAGTTTTTTTTTAAATCCAATTCTATAATGTGTCCAAACGATGATGAAATTATAGAGGACAGTGTTTTGTTGCGGGGAAAACTCGAAATTGTAAGGAAAATTGAACTTCAATTATCTGAGCTTAATGGAGCACCCACAGATTTTCGATGAAGTAGCATCACGTACACATGTCATTATGTTGATTTTTTGTAGTTTGAGATTAAATGTACATGTAGAGTTTTTGTTCCAGATGAGCTCTGATTTAAATAAAAAGTATACATACCGATAATTTTTTAAACCTAGTCACCGAAAAATTCGGGTACCGCTGTTATTTTGTAGGACCTCCAAAATATATGAGACGACACCCATGTGATGGTACTGAAAGTAGCTGCAAGTGGTTTAAAAACGCATCGAGTCACTTTTGTGCCCAAATTTCGAATTTGATTTTGTAATTTCCAAAATATAAATGCAGAAAACGAAACGCTGATTGCACTTGAGTGATATATACATTTATTGTCACTTTTTTATATAGCTGACTTCCGACAAAGCCAAATTTTGAGCAGAGTTTGTTCATCTTTAATCATTATTGAATTTTTTCATGCTGCAGCTTTTTTCTGTTTTTTGTGATCCTGCCAAAATTCTGCTGCTTATTTGAAATAACTTGGTCATTTTTGGTCATTTTGGTTTATGTGTAAGTCCATTCAAAGCTGTGAAAAAAATACTTCAAAGCTGGCACTGAAATTTGATTAGCTAAATTCTAGTTAATCAGATTCAGGTTGAAAAATTTTCAGTTTGAGAAATGGAAATATTCATTTTGGGTACAGTGAGCAAAAAGACACAACCAATTGATTGTTTTTGTCTACAATGTAGATTCTGGCAATTATTAAAAGTCCCGGCCTAATTAGCTATGAAAAAAAAAGTAAAAATTATATCAATTTTTTTATCAATCGGTTTCCAGTAAAGTCTTTTCATAAAGTTTATATCAGTCCTTCAATAAATGTCTAGTTAACGCCGAATGGTTGGCAGTATCCTTTTTCAATCAACAAATCTGAAAGGAGTTAAAAGCTCATTTTGACTGAAAACTGGCGATTTTACTCGTGCTTAAAGGTGTCAATATTGCCAATCATTTGACAAGAATTAAAATGTTAAATATTTACATCAACAATCGGAATTGAAGTTTAGACAGGCAAAATGATGTCTAAGTGGTGGGAATTTATCAGGGAAGACAGTGCTCTCCATTAAGTTCACGAGGCTTGCTCCACTGGCCGAAGAAGAAGTATCCGGTTGTAAAGCCCATGATTATGGACACGAAGAGCCATACATTGAACGTCATGGCCACAAGCATGATCAGATATCCCATGGCCACTTGAAAGAAGTGCAGAAGGGTTTGCAATAGATGCTTCTTCGTCAACAAGTTGCTGAAAAATAACCATCTCAAAAAATAATCTTAATACAAATGTGCGAAAGTTTATCTATGCCAACTCATGCCTTAGTTCAAACTTAATGCTGTCAAATTAGAGTTGTTCTTCCGAGTTTCGAAGGAAGTGGCGAAAAGTTTTTGTTCTCGGGGTGTTTTTCTCGAGCTAGCAAGTTTTGACCGATTATTTTTCCATGTCATTCGAAAGGTATAGCTGTTTTGGGCTCAAATTTGAATAGATTTTTCACCTTAGATCTTTTTGTTCCGACTTTCGATACAAAAGTAACGGAATATTTGCGCTCGGGGTGGGTTTTTTTTTCTTCAGACAAATTTCAACTTTTTAACTAGCCATTTTTGACGAATCTTTTTATAAATCATTCGAAAATTATTGTTGACTTGAGCCTAAATTTGAAAAGATATTTCACCTGTGATCATTTTTCGTGAAGTTATGGGGGTTTAAAGATTGCCATTTTGGCCAATTTGGGACAATTAACGCGCGATATATTTCCCGCAATTAACGCGTAAGCGAGATTTAATCCGTCTTAGAAAACGTTCCAAATTGGTTCAAGGAAGCTTATATGCCAAAATTGATTTGTTAGGAGGAGCAAAATTTATCACTTAGTAGTTATTATGACGTGTGGGGGTTGATTTTAAAAAAAAAAACTTTCAAATTTTAGAAAAAAATTTTTCATTTTATTTAATTTCGTTTAATTTTTTTGTTATTACTGCTCCATAAAACTTAAAAAGCAGTCGGAACATTCAGGGCTTCGCCCTGATATGAGCAGTCTTGTTGTTCCGACTTTCGATACGAAAGTAACGGAATATTTGTGCTCGGGGTGGGTAATTTTTTCTTCAGACAAATTTCGACTTATTAACTACCAGAACTGATGGAACTTTTTTACATTTTTGACAAAATTTTCACCTGTGATCATTTTCCGTAAAATTACGGGGGTTTAAAGATTGCCATTTTGGCCAATTTTGGACAATTAACGCGCGATATATTTCGCGTTATTAACGCGTAAGCGGAGAGTTAATCCATCTTAGAAATCGTTCCAAATTTGTTAAAAGATGCCTTTTTGCCATAATTGGTTTGTTACAAGGAGCAAAATCTATCCTTTTGTACTTTATATGGCGTGTGGGGGGATGATTTCTATAAAAAATTTCAAATTTTAGAAATTATTTTTTTTTTCCATTTTGTTTTATTTTTTTGAATTTTTTAATGTTATTAGTGCTCCATAAACCTCAAAAGGCAGTCGGAACATTCAGGGCTTTGCCCTGTTACGAGCAGTCTTGTTTTATTATGTTATGGGGGTTTACAGATTGCCAATTTGGCTAGCTTGGGATAATTAACGCGTGATATATTTAGTGCAAATAACGTGTAAGTGGAGATTGAATCGAGGCGTTTTAAAACTTTGCTCTATGCGAAATGCATCATTTTGCACTCTTTGAACATTCATCAAAATTTTTCAAATCGAACACAATTCCATGAAATTTAAAATGCGATTGGAAATTTCAGGGCTGTGCATTGATACGAGCAATCTTGCTTCAATCAGGATTTGAATTGCAAAAAAAACTTGAAAAGTTCTTTGGAATCGAAACAAATTGATAGAAATTTTGAAATTTGATAGAAAATTTGAACTGCAGTAAACCAAATAAAATATGACCCCACAGATATTTTTTCAATTTCCACAAAATGTTTTGTATCGATACCGTAATATTTGACTAAATTGTCCAAAAACTACTATGACATCATTTTGGCATATTTTGTAAAAACTTTTATGCGCAGAAACCACACCATGTCCCGAAAAAACTGAAACCCGCCATTGAAACAAACCATGAGTGGATTTGGAGAGAAGCGCGGGAAGAGGGCGCTGTATCTCTCAAAGATTCGACGTTTTGCCTCCCAATGGCATTTGGTATTGTTTCACGACATCTGTTTTCTAACGGCGCAATCTGTGCCAATTTCTGCAAATTTTGAGGGGCAAGCGCGCCAGTCTCAGCTTTTTTCAAAAAAATTTTGCTGTGCATAAATTAAAAATTTTGCAAAAAGGATCTTTTTAGTGTTTGGGCAGCTCGAAAAATCAATTTGGCCAAACTAATTTTTTTAAACAGAAAGTTTTAGAGTCCCCTTTGAAAAAGTCCAAGATTCACCCCTCAAACAACCCATTAAAAATATTTTAAATTAGGTGCAAATAAATAATGTTTTCATCAGGAAGGCAGATTTTTGAAAAAAAAATGTTGAGGAATTTGGAGCTGAAAATGGAGAGAAAATGGAAAATGGTAAAAAATTTTGAATACTTTGTCTGTCTTTTTTTTGTATGTTGATCAACTTAAGTACATTTTCTGACGCCAAAAAAGCCAATTTATGCTCACAGTTCTGAGCCGCTTCCAAATTTGTGAAATTACCACAACGTAATATTATAGTTATAGTTATAAGCAAAACTGTTTGAATGTCAGGCGAAATTTTAAATGTTCCGACTGCCTTTTAACTTGAGTCGAATAGTTTTTGCCACAAACAACTGATTGAATATACTCTCAATATAAAATAATAAGCGCTTAGATCTGAGTTCTACTTGGAATACAAAACATCAATTAGCTTACTTATTTTTAATTAGAACAATGTTGTGTGCAAAAAAACTACCAGGCATAAATATTTCTAACAGGCGACAATGCATAACAGGCGACAATTTGTAACAGGCGACAGATTTTAACAGCGCATTGAGAAGTTTTAAACGCATGATCCGGTTTGCTCAGCTGCGCTTATATTGGATGTTGATAGTTGCGATAGCGCGATAGTTTGTGTAAATCAGTGCTATCTGCTAAATCTAATGTTACTGAGTGATGCGCGTTATTTCGAAACAGGCGATATTTTGCAGCAGTACACTAATTGGTAAACACTGAATTTTACGCAGTGTTCCTCTCGAGCCAAGTTTAAGTGCAGCTGAGCAAGTATTTGCTACATGCCCATGCATTGTTAGCAAATATTGGTTGTTACAAAATTTTACAATTTGTCTTCTGTTAAGAATCGTCATCTTTCCAATTATTTCAGCCTCATAAAAATCTTCAGCTTGAAATAGAAGAGACAGAGACAGAATTGCATTTTTAAACTATTAGAACTTTGCAAAAAAACTACAACTTTTTCGAAATCAAAAAAAAATTAAATTTTTTGGATTAAAATAATTTTTATTAAAAATTAAGAATTTGTTTGCAACAGTTGGTCAGAATAAAAAAACTCAAGCATAAGTTTTCCTTCTACTGCACGTATATTGAAAAATACTAAATTGCCCACACAGAGGGAGGTACTGCTGGGATATTTTGAGTTATTTCCGCAGCAATTGGTTATAATTGCTTATTGTTTCTATCTTCGAAAATAGTGACAAAATACGTGATGGTTATAGTGAAAAAATACTTGTGACGGTTTTTTTCTTCCTCTATCAAAAATCTCAATTCCATTTGAAAAATCTTGATGTTTCATTTTGAAGCTCTGCAGATTTCTATACAGTAAGAGCAGTTTGAATTTTAGTCGATTCGAAAAAATAAGGTGCGTGATTTGAAGCACATTTTTTCAGTCTTGAACGACCGAACGCATATAGGATATAGCAGCCAAAAATAAGTTGATCGTTCAGAAACCTGAAAAAAAAATCAGCTGGAACTGAATTATTTGGACAGTATAAAGAGAATTCACAGCTTAAAAATTACCCTCAACATTGTCCTTTTTTCAATAAAATAAGCCCACAGAGTTAACATTTTACAACGTTCGTGGACAACATTTTTTTTCAAACTGAATTGAGGTGACCAAAATAATCAGGTAATCTGTTATGAAATGACAAATATATTAATTTGTTTTTTTGAGACTTGTGGTGCATTGTCAGTGGCGGGATGTGAAGTAAATTTGAGTATGAGAAAATTTATCAAAAAAATTGATATCTATTGAAACTTTCTGTTTTGGAAAATTGAAATTATTCAATTGCTGACAAATCCATCAAAAATTTAGTCAATCAAATTCTACCAAAAAAATTGTTTTTTTTTGTTTTTTTATCAATCACATATTACGCCAAAAAGATTTGTTCAATTGCTAACAAAAATTTATCACATTGAGCCGATTATATAGTCCAACAAAGTTTTCAATTTTTCAAAAGTCCAACCTTTTTTTTGATACCAAGGGGAGGGCGATTGTTAAGTAGATCCAAAAGATCTCCTTAAGATGCTCCAAAAAATCTTGCAAAACTAGGGCTAACACGGATTTCACCACTTAATTGAATCATATTCACGTCAGCCGACTAGCAATTGAAAGAAATGTAAATCTAAGAAATACGATATGAAAGCAAATCCTAATAGACATTCCGGCTATCCGAAAATAAAAAAAAATTAGTGTATTCGTTAACAAAAAAAACGGTTGGACGGGAACATTTTTTTTCATCTTTCTGTGAACAAAATTTTTTGGGCTATCTGGGTGTTACCAATTTGTAGCTCAATTATTTTATTTCAAATCCGCTTGAGTTCCTTTTGCTTATATAAGTGCCGAGAGACGGTCGAGGTTAACTACAAAATTTTACTCCTACCGGGGAATCTATCAGGACAGATAGACCTCAAGCCCGAAAGCTTTTTTAGCCAATTAGTATTCAGTATTAGAATGTTTGAACAAAAGTTAAACCGGAATTCGCTCCTTCTATCATAAGAAAAACCCCAAAACTTACCTGAAGTATCCAGATGCAGGCTTTTGTGAGCCCAGAGTGTAATTTTTGCTGCTGGTGCTGTTATTTGGAGTCCCATTGTCATCGAGGCTCTTTTCCGGTCGCCCTGTACAGTGATATTGCTCTTCTTTCAAAGCTTACACTTTTCACAAACTTTTTCTCCCACATTGAGATCTTTTTTTTATTTGACAACTTTTTTAGAGTATCAAATATCTCAACCCACGACAAAATTTTTAATAACCAACACTCGGTATTTGTATTTACAATACTATGGTATCCAGCCAGAAAATATAGTTTCAGTTCACATTTCTTTGGTTCTTTTGTAATTATACAATTGTTCCAGAGGAAATGAACAAAGCTTAACAACTGGGATTGCAGTCAAAAGGTAGACGTGTCCTTCCTGAATCGAGATAAGAAAACAAACGTACAAAATAGATAATTAATTAGTATTGTTGCACACACTTGCTTAAATAATCGGTATTCTGATTGGCTTCCGACGTGCCTACTTTACGACATGTTGTTACGTAATCAAAAAACTGAATGCCTCATTAGATTTAAAATAAAGGGAGGACTTTTCTGCTTCTTCGTATCATTTTAAGAACCTCAAACGATGAAATAAAAGATGAGAAATAAAAGAATTTGACATGTTTGGGGAAAGGGAAACTTAAATGGTTTGAAACAAGGCGTCGCACGGGGGCGTCGTACCCTCGTGATGATGAGTCAGCCTCTCTCTCGCAGCCTTCAGACCCTCGTAGCCAACTGAGACACCGAACCAGAACACACACGACAACAGGAGCTCTAAATTTAGAGAAAAAAAACATACTTATCACGTTTCATTGTGATGGAAAAGGTTTATTGTTTAGTTTCGAAGAAAATAGGGAATAACCATGCTTGTGGTTACTGTTTTTTTTTCAGACCAATTGTGGCGATTAAAAGAGCTTAAGCAAAAATTTTTGTATCCAAACGAAAATATTGAATCCAAAATAATCAACCCATTTGCAAAAAAAAACATTGCGTGCAATCTTTTTGGTTCAGTTCTGGGGGGTCGAGAGAATCGTTTAGGACGGAGCTAGGCAAGAAAGACGTGACTAGCGCGTGTTTTGAAGAATTATTACTTGATGAAAAAAGTGTACGAGCAAGTTAACTTGCGGCGGGTTTTCTCGCACTAAAAATTGTTTTAAATTTTTGTATTCACTCAAAATGAGGCAGGCTCGTTAGTGATATAATTTTGACTCAAACTCTTAAGCTAAAGTATCTTACATCATCTGTTAACGGGCAAAATACTTCAAGTAATTAAAAATTTGCAGTTTAAATTTATTTTTTCTGCATTATGTGTTAAAATTCATTATGTGTTAAAACTATGAGTAAGACCAACTAGGATTAAGGGCTGGGATTAGAGACTGAGATAGAATCTGAGGTTTGAACTGAGGATCAATAAAAGATAGTGATCGTTGAAGAATGAACTAAGCATCACAAAAGTATCAGTTAAATAACTACTACCTAAATAAATGATCGCTAGTTGACCTTGTCTGAGTTTTGACTATTTAATCAGTTTTAACCTCCAAACTGATTGGATTCAATTAACCTGTATGAAATAAGATGGTCTGATCTCAACACCCCTACTTAGGCTCAATGGGCTTTGCCCAATGTCAGGCTGCAACCCATCAAGTTTCGATGATGTTGCTCCACCTTAACCTCACTCGGGGCTTTCGTCAAAAGTCATCTTCCATTATCTCAGTAGGGCAATACTGGAGTTCAACTGTCTCAGGTTTCACTCGTTCTCAAACAGAGTGGTATTTCACATCGACATGCTTCGTTCGCTTCTACATCACAGGATTCTTGCATCTTGATACAGCTCTGGTTTTCCTCTATTATGACCGTTGGTCCGTCACTCACCACGCCCCTCTCATCAAAATTTCAAAAATTAATCGCTGACTTAGAGCTTCATGAACAACGGCTGCCATTGCTTGGTACTGAGCCTCACTGATATATATGGTTGCGATTGGTTGCTTTTGGTGGTCCAACTAATTGCTTCCCCTGCCTTATGCAAATGAAAGCTGTAGCCAGTAGTTGACATTCTATCATCCAGATCTCCAGCCCAGTCAGCATCTGGGTATCCATATTTTACCAGTGTTTTTTTTACTATCAGCGTCAATGGTGCATCACAACTCCAGATATTTGCTCCCCTTCAGACAACGAAGAATCCTTTTTGCAGGAACCCAAAGGACTCTTCCCGATTTCTCCAGGAAACGGAAGAATTGTCTCACAATAGTTAGGATATCCGGACTTGTTCACAGCAGTCCTTGTTCGACTGTTGAGCACTGATTTCCGCTGGTGTGCCCACTGGCTTGCAGTCAGCTGGGCCAAAACGCTACAAGCAGTCGTTGATGTAACGTGATTGATTCACTGTTACCATCCCAGGTAACTGCTTGACTTGCATTCACAAGAACCAGGAGAATGCGCGTCTGTCATCCATCTTGAATTTTTCGGAGAAACGACTCCTCATTTTTTAGCTTCTTCCTGACATCCGCTCCCAATGGTGATGCCATCTACCCAAACCAGCACACAAATCAAGGCATCCATCGTTCCCGTCATCTCAAACAAACAGAAGCCGTTGCAAGAAGGAAACTGCTCATCGTCTGATTCCACTCTCTTACTGCCTGCCGCAGCACATTGAGACTTCGTGGTGGCAAGCACACTTGGCAGTCACCTCTGATGAACCTTTCTTGCTGCTCCCTGGCTACTGTCACTGTTAGAGGAGAGTTGAGGAAGACTGATTTAATATCCATCTGATGAAATTCAAGATCATGTTTGACCTCCAAGGCTAACAGTATCCTTTTTGTTTCGGGTTTACAGGTCTGAGCTAAGGTCTCATTGATAACAATTCATTCCACTTGAATGAACCCTTCCATTACATATTGGGCTTTGAACCGCTCCACTTGTCCCATCGGATATCTCCTCACAGCAAGAACCCATCGTCCAGGAAAAAAAAATCGAGATCGTGGTCTATCAACAAATGTCCATGTTCCTAAGGCTTCTCGCGACTTCGCCTGTGAAACCATGCCTGCCAGCCATTACTACTTTTCAAGTCCAGGCACTGCTTTCGAATAGCCCATTTGCTCCAGGGTTCCACTCGATGAAGCATGGGTATAAGCCAGTCAGTATCGACTTTTACATTGGAGGCTCAATAAATTGTGATTCAATTGCTTCCTCCTAGAGCTGATCCTTTTCAATAGCACCCACTGAATCTATAGCATCACCCTCAATTGGTGCGCTTGTCGCTTAGCTGGTTGTCGGCCTGCTTGGTGGCTCAATATCAATGCATCCCTCGATTGATAGCCCCAGGTTTTGTAATGGCTCAATGTTCAGCTTGAAGTTGTCTGAAAAGATGTTCTCATTGAATGCCACGCTTCTTGCTCGCACCACTTGTCTCCAGATCCAACAGCTAGTAGTTTTTGCTCTCCTCGTCCGAGCCGAGTAATTTGCCATTCTTGCCTGTTGGATACAGCTTCCGTCTCAGACAGTACGCGAAGCAACCAAACACACGCCAAGAGCTTTTTTTTGATAGTTTCCCATAGAGCATCTCCGTGGGTGAAAAGCGCTTTTCACTGCTGGATTTGGGACACAAAAAGCGAACATTCACAGCCGGCGACATTGCTCGCACACAGAAGATCTTCGATATCTTTACTTCGGCCAGCAGACATCGAGACATCTCCGTGATCACTCTTCTGTAGCCATTCTGTTTTGAGAACGGTTAGCTCATGTTTCAACTAGGATTCTCTACAAAAAAATCCTATAAGCATTCGAAGAAAACTGGCCTCCATTGTAAGTTCGTACGCACTTCGATGCTTCTTTCTCAGCCACAAATTCCAGGAATTTTGGCGCAGAATACTTCTCCAGATTCATGACACAGCCAGACGACTAAAGTCAAGCTCAAGGTATAGCACGCCCCATACAGGCTCGGTATTTCAATTGGTCCCTGGATATCACTGAAGATCCGCTGCGTCTTTGCCGATGCTCTGATGTCAGTCTTATTAGGCAATGCTACTTCACGCATCTTGGAAGCTGTACACACTTCGCAGAATTCTAGCATGCTCACATTGGCAAGCGATGAGAGGTCCTGCTGGTTGAGGTGTCTCAGTCATCGGTGCCACAAACTTTTGCCAATGGTGTCCCTTTTTGTCTTCGACACTAGAATCATCGGGTTTGCCAGTAGATAATAAGCACCTGTGGCGAAACTGAAGCTTGACCCTCTGCTTGTCTTACAAAAAATGCTTGTCTTACAATTTCCATTTATGATGAAATGCTTATAATACAATTTCCATTTATGAAAAAATGTTTATCCTACAATTTCCATATATGAGAAAATGTTTATCCTACAATTTCCATATATGAAAAAATGTTTTTTCTACAATTTCTATAAATGAAAAAACGCTTATCCTAGAGTTTTTTTTAAACAATTTTCTGAGTCTATGAAACTGTAAAAAATTGTAGGACAAGCTTTTTTTCATATATGGAAATTGTAGGATAAGCATTTTTGGTCAACCCACGCTAAGATGCAGTTGAAATACTATCTACAACTTAAAAAAGTGCTTAACCGTTCTCAAATCAAGCAATATTTTTTTCGATGTCTTGACCAAAAACAATGTGAGCGACTTTTTTCAAATGCTCGAGCAAAATAACCACTGGAAAATATGTAAGATTTGAGCGGTTAGAGCCGTTTTTTTTAGACAATTACGCTCAAAATCTTGCTTCAAAATGAGCAGTTTGAGCGGTTTTTGAACGGTTTATCTAAAAAAACCGCGCAAGATTTGAGCGGTTTGAGCGGTTTTTTTAGACAATTACGCCCAAAATCTTGCTTCAAAATGAGCGGTTTAAGCGGTTTTTGAACGGTTTATCTAAAAAAAAAACGCTCAAAAACCGCGCAAGATTTGAACGGTTTTGAACGGTTTTGAGCGTAAAAAAAACGCTCAAAAACCGCGCAAGATTTGAGCGGTTTTTGAGCGTTTGTTTTAGATAAACCGCTCAAAACCGTTCAAATCTTGCGCGGTTTTTGAGCGGTTTTTTTAGATAAACCGTTCAAAAACCGCTCAAACCGCTCATTTTGAAGCAAGATTTTGAGCGTAATTGTCTAAAAAAACCGCTCAAACCGCTCAAATCTTGCTTCAAATTAGGTGAAAAATCTCGACTCGGGCTAGCCACCGCTGAGCTCACACTCATCAATTTTACACGCTGATATCTTAACTAGGGAAATTTGACCTATGAATTGGCCTATTGTGATTCCTATCCATCAACAATGCGTTTGTTAGCGCTCTTCTGGTAATAAATCTGAATTTTATGATATATTTTTTTAAAGTTTTGGTCTGCTAAAAAGTCGACTCCAAGTGGAGTGTATTTCAAACCCCCATCAAAATACATTACACCAAAGCCCAAGTCAAACAGTGCTGAACTAACATGATGTTCAATAATGTGTTCAATACTATTCTCATACATCTAGAAAATTTTGAAAGCTATATTAGTTACAAGCTGGCTGAAAACAAAAAGCAATCATCTTTTTAAATTGGCATGATATTGTAAAGCAAATAGAAACTGTGCGAGCGTGGCTTCATAAAGCTTGATAACAAAAATCGGAAAGGGCCTAGTATTGGACAACTTCATTGTCTAGAATGAAGTTGGTTGCAAACAAAAAGTGTTTATTATCACAGAACTGATCGAAATTGGTATTTTTTTGAAGTTTGATTGATAATGAGTGATAATCGTTAATTTTTTTAAGTTAGTCGAATTTTCGATCAATCAGAATGCAGCAAAATTTGAGTTATAAATGGAGCGTTCTAGTGCTAATTTTTTACTGCTTGTGTTAAAAGGTGTGGCAATTTTTTAGTAGATACCAACAGGGTGCGATGAGGTGCGATTGTCAATTTTTTTTTAAATGCATAACTTACTCTGACAATAAAAATCTGATTTGCGGTTGGACAACCAGTGTTTAATAGTACAAAATTTAATACGAGTCTGAAAACAAAATGTCACGCAATTTGCATGCAATTCTTTACTTTCGGGTTGTCTTTTTTGCTGCTCGTCTAATTTCTCAACCCCTCAATCAGACAAAATTCCTATTCTAGATGTTTTTTCACCAAAGTAATACACGACTGCTAAAATCCTTTGTTTTTGGCACTCCTGAACACTTATTCATTTTTGGCACTTGTATTTTAGTTTTATAGAAAGCCCTACAAAACTTCTCAAAAAATATACGGATTTTTTTTGTTTTTGAGCTCAGATGATTGATACTTCCGTCAGTGATACCTAAAAAACGTCTGGATGAAATTGATCTTAAGAAGAACCCAAATTCGAAATTAGAGACTCACGCCACCAGTTTTTGACTTTCCATGACTCCCAAAGAATCAGCACTTCGTCTGTCCCGTAGAATGTCATCTGAAATCAGAATTATAGGACCAAGTTAACGGTGATGTCCCATTTGTACCATAGTTCATTTGTACCAAAATAAAAAATCAGTCCCATTTGTACCAAAATTTTTCAACTCGATTTCTGATTGGTTGAATTGTGAGCGAACGAGTTATTAAAATAATTTACTACTGTTCAAACAGAAGAAAACTAAACAGCTGAATAGAGAACGCCGCAGCCGCTCCAACGTGTTGCGAGCTTGCCAAACAGAGGGTAGGACTCTACACGCAAATTAGAGCCGGTTATCTGTTTCTAAGTTTGCCTGTGATTTATTTTTTTAATAATTCCGTTTTAAAAAAGTTTAGAGGCAAACCTAACAATTAAAGATTTGCTGAAGTTCATCCACCTGAAGTTTTTCAAGTATTTTTCAAGTGGTCGGGGGGGGGGCATAACTTTAAACAAGAACCAAAATATGCTCTTCGTGAGATTTGAAAATTGCCTTATTTACCATTTACGACGCCAAGCGCGGGTACTTCGGGTACTTCGGTTTCAACAGTGCCGAAATAAATTAGTGACGAAACTGAAAATTTGTTCACCAAAAATTTATGATATTTGAAAATAGGAGTTCTGTTTGTAAATAGTTGGCAATTTTGCGTAAATTTGCGTAAATAGTTGGCAATTTGCGTTGTTCGCAATTGTTGTTCCGACTTTAGATACGAAAATAACGGAATATTTGTGCTCGGGTTTTTTTTCTTCATACAAATTTAGACTTTTTAACTAGATATTTTTGAAGGAATTTTTTAAAATCATTCAAAAGGTATTGTTGTCTTGAGCTTAAATTTGAAAAGATATTTTACCTGTGATCATTTTACGTAAAATTACGGGGGTTTAAAGATTGCCATTTTGGCCAATTTGGGACAATTAACGAGCAATATATTTCGCGCTATTAACGCGTAAGCGGAGACTCAATCCGTCTTTGAAAGCGTTTCAAAATGGTCGAAAAAAGCGTATTTGCCATAATTGATTTGATGCAATGTGCGAAATCTATTTTTTTGTACTTTAAATGGCGTGTGGGGGGATGATTTCATTTAAAAAATTCAAATTTTAGAATTTTTTTTTCATTTTCTTTTATTTCATTTAATTTTTGATGTTACTACTGCTCCATAACCCTTAAAAGCCAGTCAGAACATTCAGGGCTTCGCCCTGATACGAGCAGTCTTGTTGTTCCGACTTTCGATACGAAAGTAACGGAATATTTGTGCTCGGGGTGGGTTTTTTTTCTTCAGACAAATTTCGACTTTTTAACTAGCCATTTTTGACGGAATTTTTTAAATCATTCAAAAGGTTTTGTTGTCTTGAGCTTAAATCTGAAAAGATATTTTACCTGTGATCATTTTTCGTAAAGTTATGAGGGTTTAAAGATTGCCATTTTGGCCATTTCGACCAATTTGGGACAATTAACGCGCGATATAATTCGCGCTATTAACGCGTAAGCGGAGATTTAATCCGTCTTATGAATCGTTCCAAATTAGTTGAACGAAGCTTATTTGCCATAATTGATTTGTTACAAGGAACGAAATCTCTCTTTTTGTACTTTATATGGCGTGTGGGGGGATGATTTTCATTAAAAAATTTCAAATTAAAAAAAAAATTTCATTTTTTTTATTTCATTTAATTTTTTTATGTTATTACTGCTGCTCCATAAACCTTAAAAGGCAGTCGGAACATTCAGGGCTTCGCCCTGATACGAGCAGTCTTGTTTTGTTTAGTTCGCATTTGTTTTGCTGAGTTGTATCTTCGTTCAGAAAAATTTATGGCGCCAGGCTTGGCAAACTTTTATTTGCTTTATCAAGCGGCAAAAAATGGCTTTTTTTTCTTTTCAACTTTCCGTCATTTTGAGTTAAACTACTTTAGTGCTTTGAATTGATAACAAACAAACAATCAAACAAAAGATTTCGGCACTGTTCATCACCATTTCATTTTCGGCACTGTTGCACTTCGGCACATTTTACTGCCCTATACTTCCATAGCTTTCGTTAAAACTTAATTAAATTTTTAAATGAGGCCGAAAATTAGCTGGCTGTGCCTTTTAATTTTAGTTGGCCAAACATTTTATTAAATAACTTTCAAGTATTAGAATGATTTTGTTGTCATGCATGCTGGCTTCAAAAAGAACAGTCGTTTTTGTCTGACCTCCATTTTTCACTTACCTGCATCGAGTGCATAGTCATGTGCATGGAGCTACCATCACCAGGCATTTCCATTTCAACTGAGCAGTCCCTTCAAGGTGTTAAACTGGCCAAGAATACAAACCAATAACTTTATATTTCAGTTTTTAATAGACAAAAATGGACTAACTTCAAACAGAACAATTAGAAAAATGGTCACGTACTTATCATGAACAAAATTTTCTTCACTTGCAATGTATACTGGAGATTATAAATAAACATCAAAGCCATTACTCTGATTTGTTAGAATGTATACACACCTCTGTACAGAACGTTCAACAGATAGTTTTCGATTCATGGTTTCTACTTGTGTTTTTATCAAACATAAATAATAAAACTTGCAAATAAACTATGGCCATAAACTTTTGAGACCCCTGAGCTAATATTGATTACTTTTGCACACAAATTTAGTTAATAGACCAGAAAAAAGCGTGAAAAAAAGTTGACTAAAAGTTACAGAAAAAAAGGAGTGGATGTAATTTGACGAATAACGGATTTCCTGGAAGGCGGATCTCTCCAGGGAGAGGGAAGATGGTTGGGGGGATGGGTGGGAGAATTTATGGTAGATATTTTCCTATGTTTTCTCAAAAAACTTCTTAAAAACATTGTTGAAATTAATTTTTTACTTTCGCAAAAATTTTGATTTGCAAAAATTCTGAGAATAACTGTAAGTACAAACTCAACGTTCTATCGATTATTTTTCGAATTTACAGAAAAAAAAATTGATAAATATTTGCGTTTGGTGCATTTTTTTGTTTGATTTCGGTATTTTAATTTTTATAACCTCGCAAGAAAACCAGTATATACCAGATCTATTGAGACTACTATCAGCCCATTCTGAATGATTCCAGAGTCTCTTCCGTAATTTCCTCCGGAATTTGATATCTTGGAATTTTCCGAGAGCTTGTGCTAATTCTTTAACTCGGTTAGGCAAAGATGATGTAGATATTTTATTTCATTCTTTTCAATTCCCTCTAAATGATGTGTTGGATCTACTTAACAATCTCCACCCCTTTCAAGAAAGGGGGGGGGGGGAGATTGTTAAGTAGGTCAAAATGGTCGATTTTTCAACCAATCAGAATGCAGCAAAATTATAATTCTCAATAGAAAGCTCAGTGCTAATTTACTGTATTTATTTATAGGGGTGGACATTCTTAAGTAGGTACCATAGGGGGGGGGGGGAGATTGTTAAGTAGATCCGATGTGTTCAATGTGAATTTAGATTTTCTTGTCATAAAAGTACGTTTTGGCTTACGTTTCAAAATTTCTACAACCTTTGAAGATTGTTATGTCATATCATTAAGAGCAATTGCAAAATCTTCCTATTTTGATATCGCAGAAATGAACTCAAGGATCAGAAGTAAAACGCGGGCAACCTCATGCTGCATGATTGGCAAATTTGGATTAATGTGCGGAAACAACTATGTCACCAACATGTTGGTTGATTGTATGCTGAAAATTGCATAAAAATTTCTTGACCGATATCCACTTCATAACGGTTTCCAATATGTCCCAATTCCCTCTTCTTCAACGGCAAAAAACACGCTTTCGAAGAAAGTTGTAACCTTTTAAAAGTGTTGGAATCACACAAATCTCAATTTTTTTTTTGAAAAAAATTGCGTATTTAATAAAATTGGCCAAATCAAGTTTTTTCCTAATGATTATATTTTTTAGAACAACCTGATCAATTAAACAAAAATGATCTTTTTAAATTAAGTCACTGCTTAATTGTAATTAGTTTTATGATGCATTTTGACTGCAAAGTTTTGTCATATACAGTTTTATGTTATTGAGTTAAATTCTTGGCGTTGACAGTCATTCTTGGTGCTGAAAACGACGCCGGGAGAGGGAAAACCCATTGGGGATAACGGCCTTTTGATGGAGCAAATGCGTTGAACCACCGATTTTTGGTATCATTAGATCAACCGGCTCATATTGGGTGTTATTACAAAACACGGGTTCAATCTGACGTCTCTTTATTTCGATGAAGGACTCACGACAGCGCAAATTATGGCGCTTTCAGCGGACGTCATGGAGAAAACTCGAGTGCAGACGGAGCAGACACTCATTTCTAACCTCTACTTGTGCCTCGGTGAACGCGGAAAAAATGAGTTGCACAACCAAAAACCCAGTCTAAACTTAGCAACGACACGCTACCACAGAATTTCGAACAAATTTGAAGAAATCATCAAGATGGAAAGAAGCGAAACTTTCAAAACTTACCAGCTTCTTGTGCGGAAACATTGTGACAGTGAAACCTTGGAGCAATTTCATTCGGTTCTGAACGAAGTAGTGGCACGGTTTTATCTACGGACACTGGAGAGGCGCATTCTTACGGCGGTATTCATCGTTAAGATGAGGAACAAGGAGAGACAAATGAAGTTGTGTCGTTCAAATAAGACTCCGGACGAGGTGTACAGCATCGCGCTGTCAAACGAGAGGGGAGATAAGTACAAAAAAATTTATAAAATATTTGGACGCGCAATAGCGATGACGCCGGCGGCCGCACTACAAAATAAGATAGAACCAATAAGCGCTACCCGAGGGGATACAGACGGCCATACCAACGGAAAAGCCGAGGAGCGGGGGGCGACTTCAACAAAGTTGGGAGGACGAAGATTCCGATTTCGCATCGGATTTCGAGCCAGCACTGTTTCCGTGCGGTGTTGAGGCACGCGGGAAAACGATGGAGAGCGGATTTGGGACCAGCGGAGCGACTGGGGATAACGAAAATGCTAGGATCCGAAGAAAACTGCGGCGGCACCGGGATAGCGCAACGAAGATACGCCGGGAGAGAAAAGAGTTAATAGCCCAAACATACAGCAAAAGAACACGCCATAAAATCGAGCTGAGGCGAATAGTGAACACAAATGAGCCAAAGGAGAACCCAGACGAGAAAAAAAGCGGGACGACCACGGAAACAGAGACTAGTTTCAGACTCTAGTCAAAACTCGAACAGCCAGAGTGCGACAAGCTCGTGAAAATTTTCCGAAATTGAACGGCAGTAACAAAAATGCGGCGGTGATGATCGGTACCATCACCAAAGAATGGGAGAAAAAGGAGGGGTAAAGACAGGACAGGGAGAAAGAGAATATGTAAGACTCTTGCTTTTTTGAAACTCCTGCAAACTCTAAGGCCCAAAGAGAGTTTAGTCCCAAACTAGGCCCTCTTGTGTAGGCCCTCTGAGGCCCAAATTGATTCTAGTTCCAGTATTTAATTTTTCAAAATGCATTTCAAAACTACTCTGTAACAGGGAATGTCATATAAATAGTTTTGTGTTCATTTGAGTTCATTTATTAATGCTGACCTTCGCGTCTGGTGCTGACTGTTCGGTACCTGTCAGCAACCACAGCTCGATTCGTGCTAAAACAGAGAATGTGATTTAGCTTTGATAGACATTAATTTACTCATTGGAGAATTGTCTGAATTTACATTATCGGATCGATCAGTTTTTCACAATTTGAAAAATTGAAACATTTGAGTTTTTTGTAGAAAGTTTTTGTCGAAAAGTTAAAAATTAGCAAAAACTGTAATTGAATTAGTGTCTTTACCGCAGATAAATTGAGCATTCCAGATTAAAGTTTTTCTCTCTGATTGCAGATACTTTGGTCAAGTTTGTTTTCTGATTGAGTTGAAAAATGTTTTTTTTTTCCATTTTATTTCAGTGTCCACTGAATTGCTTAAAAAAGCTGTAGTTCAGAAACAGTTTTTATTCATATTGCTTTGAATCATATTTGAAAAGTTCAGTCATAAAAAACTTTATTTATCTAAGCAAAATTTTTCTATGATTTGTACAAGTACCAATTTGTTTTCCGCTTTTCATCAGCCTGCAGAATCGGCGAAGTGTTCAGTCAAAATAAATGAGACAAAGGTGCAGAAAAACACCCATTGTTGCTTAAAATAATGTCACGGGAAAAAAATTCAGATCTCAGTGCCTGAATTAAAATCAGAAAAAAACCGAGTTCGAAAAATTTTAAATTTAAAGTACAAATCAATTTTGGTGAAAACTTTTGACGGCTTCTTGCGATGTGGACAGATTTGCTCAGAGCGTTCAGATGAGAAATTGTTCAGAAAAAGTAACTGAATTGAAATTTTAACCTAAGCTAAAGGGTTATATTTTTCTATAAACTTGTTCGTACTTTTAAAATTGAGTTAAGGAAAGTTAGTAAATATTTGTAAGAAAACTGAATCGGTATGTTCCACCAATGTTATATAGTCTAAAAAGTTGAGTTAGGCATAAAATCTTTATAGAATATGTAAAGAAAAACACAAATGTGCAAATAAGAATCGCTGTCCTGAGTTCAAATTTAAAGAGATGTTTCACTTGTAATCTTTTTTCGTACGGCTATGGGGACTTAACTTAAAGATTACAATTTGATCAACTTGGGATAAAAAAACGAGCAAAATTTTCAAATTAATAACAACGAAAGCGAAGATAAACAACACTGATCGTATCAGGGCGAAGCCCTGAATGTTCCGACTGCCTTTTAATGTTTATGAAGCAGTATTAACCTTTAGAAAAATTAAATGTAAAAAAATTAAATGAAGATTTTTTTTTCCAAAATTTTATGAAAATAGCGTTACATTCACCTTTTCTGTGAATCAACCTGTCCATTATTTATTTCAGTGGAAATATTGACACTAAAATAAAGATTAGAACAAAATATTCTTCCCTAAAATGGTTGTTGTTCGTGGTGCTCGAATATTTGTTCTCGGGGTGGATTTTTGTCTTCAGACAAATTTCGCCTTTTTAACTACCGGAACTGATGGAACTTTTTTACATCATTCAAAAGTTATTGTTGTCCTGAGCTTAAATTTGAAAAGATATTTCACCTGTGAGAATTTTTCGTAAAGTTATGGGGGTTTAAAGATAGGGGCAATTAACGCGCGATATGATTCGATATAATCCGATATAAGCGGATATTTAATCCATCTGAGAAAATTGTTCCAATTTGGTTAAAAGAAGCCTATTCGCCATAATTGAATTGTTACAAGGAGCAAAATCTATCTTTTGTACTTTATGTGTGGGGTGATGTTTTTTTCAAAAAATCTCAATTTTTTATTCAAATTAATTTTATTTTCTCTACATTTGAGCTTTGCTTTATATTACTGCTCCATAGATTTTAAAAGGCAGTCAGAACATTCAGAGCTTCGCCCTGATACGAGCAGTTTTGTTAAAAATTAGAATCTAATATTGGTCCAATTA